GCACTAGCTACTTGAGTCAGAGCAGATTACTTTATTTAATCTCTGCAAGCTTCCTATAACATGAGATAAAATTAATGATAGTGAAGGGACCCTCCCTGGTGGTAAAACAGGTGGTAAAGCGCAGCACTATGAAGCTATCCTCAGTGACTGCAACACTGGTCAGGGAGGTGACCCACATGTCATGGCAGATCTCTCCTGTCGCACCCACTGTTCCCCTCAGTAGTATATTTCAGTAGATCCACCTGTTCTATTCCCCACTGTGTCTCTGGAGAATCCTCTCACCCCCACACCTCTGGCCTGTAACCTTAGTTCTTGTATGCATAAATAAATTAATCTTAAAAAAAAATAATGACAGTGAAAATAGCACTTTCACTGCTATTTCACTGTGGGGAAAATCATTCAGGTATTGCTCAAAATCTACACTCTTATTTTTAAAAATAACTAAAATAACGGCCAGTTCTCTTTATTCTCAGTACATTCTGCATCTCCTCCCATCTTTGTATAATTTGTTTATAGATGTGTATATATGTATGATCTCACATTCTAATGACAAAGGAGTAGCAGGGCCCTGCCTGGTGGTGCAACAGGTTAGGATGTAGCACTGCAAGCCAGCACAGCTGCTTCAGTGTGAGTTTGATCCCCTGCCCGGGAGGTGACCCACATGGCACTGCAGACCTCTCCTGACCCACCCTCTACTCCCCTCAGCAGTGTACTTTGTCTATCTGACTGTTCTGTCCCTCACTCTGTCTCTGGCGAATCTTCTCACATCCCCTGCACCTCTGGCTTGTACCCCAGTTCTGTATGCATAAATAAATCTTAAAAAAAAAAAGTTTTAAAGCAAACAAAAAAAGAGTAGCAAGCTAAAAACAAAATGGGCATTACTTTTGAAATAACTCAGTTTGAGGCTCATTGGGGTCTGAGTTTCACAGTGCACTCCACTGTGTAACAAACTCTAAGAAATAATCTTCATATCAGAGCCATATTTCCAATAGGGTCATGGGTGCTGAGACTTCCACACACCAACAAATAATTCTTGGGCATGATAATTCATCTCAGTTCTAAAACTACCTACCCATGAGATAAAAGTTCAGTCTACCAAGACCACCCACCACTTCAGACTCTGTAGAAAACCCCAAGCATGCTCCACACTGGAGTTTTGAATAACTGGCTGCAGATGGGAGGCTTCCAGGACCACTTCCTCAGATTTCAGGTGCCTCTGGCAAGCCCAGATTATTATTTGTGATTCTGACTAACTGAACATGCATTCGGGTTCAGTTGCTAGAATAGCATACAGAACTCAGGAAACACATTTGCTCCGTAGATGATCAACCTATTACACAGGGTATTAAAAACACAACTCAATGCCATGGGAAGTTATGCATATAATAAGATATGGGGGAAAGAGCACAAAGCCTCCATGCCCTCTCTAGGTGCACCATTCCTCCCGAATTTCCACTCATTCACCAACCTGGAAGCTCTTCAAGACCCCTCCTTTTAGCCTTCATTAAAGAGACATGGTTGACTGAATCATTGGCCTTTGGACATAGATCTCAACCTCCAGGCTCAGTCCCCTCCCCAGAGGTGGTGGGGTGAGGGGCTGGAAGTTCCAACCTCTCCTTAATGAGTGAATTCCTTGGCAACCCACTCTCACAACTTCCAAAAAGCCACCTTATTAGCCAAGCAAAAGACAGTTTTATAACTCAAAGCACTTAGACCAAGGGCTTTTGAAAGCTGAAAGCCAGGAATTGTGAATGAAAACCAAACATGTATGAGAAAAATAATACATTTCTCAATTCATTCATGTGACCAAAATGTTATTTCCTATAAAACGTAATATCAATCTTTCACATATAGCTTAGGAAATCATTCTTCATTTCCTTTTGTAGAGTTTCAGTCATAAATAGTACAATATCATTCACATAAACATGTGATTTAAGCAGCACTGGAGTCTGGCAGGAGAAAGGCTGCATAAAGAAGAAATGTGTCTTCATATCTCCCATTGTTTCTTGGCAAGACTATCCCATTATGGTAAAATTAGTGTTCAAATAGGCAGTAGTTACAATGTTCATTAAGAATAGTTTGGAAATGATCCTTAAAAAACCAAATTCAGGCCTTGACATCTTTATTGCTATTATACACTTAGTAAGCCAGATGTGATTAAGACAGGCTATATCTGTTCTTGAATTTTGGAACTATAAAGTCATTTAACTGGTACTCTGCTAAAAATACCTTCTCTGATAAATTTCTAATTAGTATGCAATTAAAAAATGACCACAAACAATACAAAAAATAATGCTACTAGAAAAACCTTATTTACTTAAGTTAAGAAAGTGTTAGGGGGAACTTGGTTTCTGAATATTAATACATTTTAACAATTGTTACAATATATTAGATTAAAGCTACAGAGACAAAAGAAGAGAGCAGTTTTTGGAGTCAATATTTTCTCCCTATCTGTAAATAAAGCATAATGTATCCAACTGGCAAGGTCATTTAAGAAATAAATGATCATTTTTTTATAAATTAACATGTGAAATACTGTGAAATAATCCTGTATAGTTGGCTATATTGATGCACAGTTATCAGTAAAATGGTAATTATTACTTTATGAGTATCTGAGCAATTCAGAACAAATTACTAAAAAGTTACATATTACTATTCTATGTCAATTGTTCATTAGTGACTAAACACAATTCAAAACAGCTAAATACAATTACAGCAATTCATTTTTAGTTTTGAAATAAAACTAACTTGCAGAAAATTAATTATGTCCAAGTGAAACCTTATACACAGTAGAAACTAGTTGACTATGTTCAAATGAATCTTTTAAGGATAACTACAATTTAAGAAATTGTTATAGTCCAAAAAATTATCAGAATGCATGATGGGGCCCATGACACCTGGAACCTAGCACAACTAATAGGTACTTGGTAAATATTTGCTTAAGTGTTGTCTACATACACCAATTTAAGATTATTCCTAAGTAGTTGCTGCTAAATGCTACAAAACTAACCCAAAGTAATAAAGGAGCACACTTGAGATGTAACTAATAAAAAATAAGAAATCTCTCAGTCTTTGGAAAAATCATAAGCACCTCATCATTAAAAACAAAACAAAACAAAACAATCCTAACTATGTATAGGTACAGAATAGATTGGTGATTATTTTATAATAATAAAAGCAGTTAATCATTATATTGTATAGCTGTAGATAGTCAATTATATCTCCATTTTTAAAAAGTCACAAAAGGACCTTACTAAACCACCAACATGGGCTCTCCATGAGACTAAATCAGAAAATTAATTAAAAATTAATTGATTATTCAAAAACTGGTTAATCAGAACAGTCTATCAACTAGCAGTTAAATAGTTAAATAGGAACATCAGACACAATTAAAATCACCAGCAATAATCCTCAAGAAAATAAAAGAGCAACAGTAAAAACAAGTAAAAACAAAGACACACAGTGAACATAAATTTAAAGAGGAAAGGTTGAAAATAAGCCAAGGGATCCTAAAGATTTTCTAATATTTGGTTCACTTTTATCTTGGAATAGAGTTTGTTCCATTTGATAAAATTCTCTTCACTTTAACTGTCTTTGTGTGTGTGTGTGTGTGTGTGTGTGTTCTATGCACTGTAGCAAGTATAATGAAAGATAGAAAAATGACATTCAGCCCCGTACAGAAGAAAAGTCATATGTACAGTTACTGCATGGTATACATCTGAAATGGGAACTAGGGAAAGAACCTAATCTCTTCTAGTCCCCATTTTCACCTCTGCATCTTCTATTTTCATACATTAAATGCCAGCAACTTAAATTCTAGAGTTGCCTTACCTTCAGTCTCTTTAATTAAAAAAAAAGATTTTTAAAAAGGAGTTGGTTTTTAGCATCTGCAATTTTATTAAATGTAGTACATGCAATGATAAAAAGAAGCTCTAATAAAATCCATGTACACCTTAAAGGATTATGAAACATTTAAAGATACAGATCTCAAATTCTCCATGAAATAAATGAACATACTCTATGGCTGTTCTTTCCTAAATGAACTGTAACTTCAGGATGAGCAGCAACTGGCAGATGATTTCAGCAACACTAAAGAGTTTGTTCGCACTAGGTCTTCCTCTTGATTTTGACTGCCTGAGGTCATTCTTAAAATATTGTTATTCAGCAGTTACGGGTCTTGATTTATCTTTTCTCCCTCCCCAAATAAAACTTAAGTGATATAGTAATCTAGTAATACTTTAATGTCATTTCCTTCAAGTTTTAAAATCTGTAATTATCGGAATACTTGTTCGTTCTCGAAAATGAATGTCTTTTCACACAAAAATTAAGCAAGGGTTTGTTAAGCTTAACTGAAGAACAATCTGAATCTCATCAGACACTTTAAAATATGAAATAAAATCTTTCCCTCCTCTCTATCCCCTCTGTAGGCTGATGTGAAAGATCATAAAGTTTGAATTACAAAGATGAAAAGTATCAAATCTAAAAGACAACTGAGATGAAGCTGAGTGCAGAGCTCAGCTCCTCCAACACTTGCATCAATAATCTATGACATAAGACAATTAAACGTAAACAAGGAAAAGCTTACACAGCATTGTAATGTTAATTTGGGGTACCACCAACTGTCCACTCGATAAGGCGGTGAATGGCTGAAAGCCCTGAAGCTAAAGGAGCCCGATTTCTGCCCGACAAAGTAGCATTCAAAGGGCGGGGGCCAATTTCCTGGGACTTAACCTCAAGCCCCCCCCGTCATCCGTATCCCAAGGCCTCCTGCTCCGATGGGTCCTGGCAGCCTCATCGCCCATTTCGGTCCCAGCTGCCCCTACCCTCCGAGATCAGGCTGGCCTCGCCCCTCCCTCCCGGGGTCCGGCCCCTCCTATCCCGGACCAGGCCCCCGCCCGGCCAGTCCTCCGTTCTGGTCGCATCAGCTGAGCTCTCGTTGCTCCCCGCTCTGCCCCGTAAGCCTCGGGCCAGTGGCAAACAGCTCTTCTATTCCCTACTACCTTAGTTGTACGGATGTGCTCCATCCCGAGAAGACGTCAGCCTGCAAGCCGCCTGATAGCGTACCAAAAAGCAGCCCAGCGGAACTAACACTGCCCGCCCTCGCCGGGGTCAGTCGGCCCGCCCCTGGTAGCGTCAACCGCGCAGGCGCAGTCGGCCAGCGCCGTCTCCTAGAAACACTTCCCCAAACCAGGTAGCCGCTGAGAGGGCTCTCGGGCGCGTGAGACAGAGCGTCCGCCCAGTGACAGCGGTGTATCCTGCAGCGACCCCTACTTGTAGAGGAAGGAAGTTCTGTTGGATAGTAGTCCGGGGAAATAGGACTGATTTAGGAATTTGGAGGATACCTTCCTCCTCTCATGAATGGATTTTGTGGACATGCTTGTGCGAAGAGAATTTGGTGAATGGGATGACACAAGAGAGACAGAGAACGGGGTGAGACAAGATCTCACTGAAGTTCATCACCCTACTGATGTGTAGTACCAAGTTCTTTTTAGTTAAGCTGCAGCTTAATAAGCATGAATTTATTTTTGGGGAAAATATAGCTAATGTAGGTTGATTTGAAACACTGAAAATCTCCGGTATTATGGGATGTTTTAATGTAACGTGTGGTATGTCCACACAACGTTAGTACTATCATTCATTAAAAAAAAAAACTATCCGTTAGAGTCTAACAAGTGAGTGCTGAAAAAAACTAATAAAAGTCAGTCTTAAAGCAAATCACTACCTTCAAACTTAGAATGAAGGATAACTTACTGGAGCAGAAACACACAATCAACAGTGTCCTGGGAACAGATGTTATGCAGTTCCTCTACAACCCAGTACATCATATCTGACTATCTGAAAAAAAATGAAAAGAAAACTAAAAGGAAAACAAAAAACAAAACAGTTTGAAGAGATAGAGGAGCATCAAAACTAGCCTCAGGTATGGCACATATGTTGGGCTTATCAGACTGGGCATTTAAAACAATTATTAATATACTAAGGACTCAGAGATAAAAGTGGGTAACATTAAAGAACAGGAGCAATTTAAATAGAGAGGTATAAATGTCAAGAATGAAAAGTAAATGACAGTTGAAAAGCACTGTAATAAACATGAAAAGTGACTGATGAACTTGGTAGACAGGACATGACTGAGGAATCTCTATCTCAATAGAGACATCCACAACTGAAAAGTGAAGAGAAAAAAGGCTGGGAGGGGAGGAATGAACCATCCAAGAACTGGGGTGGAAACACAAACACATTTAATGGACATATCTGACATAAATAAAATAAGGGAACAGAAACAAATATTTAGAAAAATAAAGGCTGAAAATTTCCTCTAAATTAATGTCATAAACCAAACAACAGATTCAGAGAGCCCAGAGAACTTCAGGATAGGATATATGCCAGAAAACTACATGTATTCTCAAACTACACAAAATTAAAGATTAAGAAAAATGACTGACAAAGCCAATAGGAGAGGGAGGGAAGAACGCATTACCTGGAGAGGAGCAAAGGAAAAAAATGCATTTGGCTTCTCTTCAGAACCTGCACAAGCAAATAAGTGGAGTGAATATTTAAAGAGTTGACAGAAAGATAAGCCCATCAACCTAAAATAGTGTACATTATCCTTCAAAACCAAGGAATAAGTAAAGCCTTACTCAGAAATATAAAAACTAAGGGACATTGTTACCCATAGATATGTTTTTTGCAATAAATTTTAAGAGTTTCTTTAAAGAAAATCAGTCAGAAATTTGGATCCATATAAAGATCAGAGAAGAGATAAATAAAATTGAGCTTGTGTTTTTCTTACTAGTTAACCTAACACAACAATTTATTCAAAAGCAATGATAGCAATAATATATATGATTACATATGCTGGTGTGCACGTGTGTGCGTGCACACACTTATGTGTAACTGAAATGAATGAGATCAACAAGGAGCAGGAGAGAGGAACAAAAATGTCAATGCTGAATTACCGAATGAAAAATGAGCTATCTATAGAGTGGTAAAGTCACTATAACTGTGTCCTGTAATTTTAATTTATGTGAATAAAAATCTTACATTTTTATATATGGTAGGATTTCAAGTGGCTTTTGTGATTCTTTTATTTCAGTGTTTCCTAGCTGGAGCGATCCCCCCCCGCCCCCCGCCCTCCCAAAGATCATTTGGCAATGTCTGTAGACACTTTGGGTAGCCACAACAATGTGAGGGTAGAAGCTATCAGGTGTTATTGAAGCAGAGTCACAGAAAACAGGGAAACAGAATTGTTAAGGCAGTTACTTGATTGATTTACTTTGAACAATGTCTCAATTTATCTTGCTGACCAGCTTAGAACTACCTCTATCCAAACTGAACAGAAAGGAATCAGAGCATATACAATTCCAATCCTGAGTGAACTGAAGTGGCTGAAACCTCATTAGCATACTATGATCTCTATTTAGGGAGGCACTAAACCTTGCTCTCTGAACAAGCAAGACATGTCCCCTGAATACGCTGAGGAATGTATTGTCCTCCACTGTCTGCATAGATGCTCCGATCCTACCCATTACTCCATCTTTCATCTTATTAATAGCAGTAGAGTCTGAATGGAAGCATCAGGCACTACACAGGATCTAAATGATCTAAGTCATCATGCATCTCTGTCACTAGCTTTTCCCTTAGGGGTTGTTGCAAGAAACAAAGATCCCTAATTCTTCTGACACTACAAAGGAGTGTGTTCACTCAAGGGAAATAAAGAGACACCAGGAAGGAAGAGGTTTGTTCATTGATATTTCTTTTTATTCTTACTAATGTTCACGAAGCATTAGTCTAGCTTAAAAGGTTTTCAGTGTGCAACAGTGATCATAAATACTTTTTGTAAAATGTTGGACTCCAATAAAGATAATCAGAGTAAATATTTCTGTTGCTTTAGTCTAAACTCTCTCTCTCTCTCTCTCTCTCTCTCTCTCACACACACACACACACACACACACACTTACACACACGAAAAACAATACAATTACAGTTTCAGTAGAGGAACAATATAACCTAATGGAAAGTCATCCAGCCCAAAATCGATTTTTTTAGGGTTAATTATATTGATGAATATCGAAGGATCACTTAGTCATCAACCATGGAAAAAAGAAGTCTAAAGCATACAGGAATGAGAGTCAGCATATTCTCTTCTTTTAAAGTATGCAGACACTACATCACTACATTTGCTTTGAACATTTGCTTTGTTCTCATGAATTCAGTGCAAGGGAAATTAGCTAAATGATAAGTGGCTGTTGTCATTCAGCCAAAATCTTGAGACATCTGTAAACTCTTGGGAGGTACCAATTGCAAATCATGACAGTAGTGTTTCTGAGCCATCAACCATTCAGTAAATCAGGAATTTAACAGAGGCCTAATGAAATAAAAAACAAGGGGAAGCAAAGTGTCTTGTTATGGAATTTAAAATCTGAATCACTTCATCCAGACTTGGAAAATAGTAATTCACATAGAACTGACACCTTAATTCAGTTCCCATAATGTCAAAGAGCAATATTTAAAACATTTTTTGGAATGGGATGTGTTACTCTCACCAGGTATGGAAGCTTACACCAACTTCTTGTGCTCTACAGTGTTGTCTGGCTGGATAGGTAGACTTCAGGTTTAAGTAGGCATGAAATTATGTTTTTACCATCTTACTGTCCAAATTTTAAATGACTAACCCTAGTTATCAGCTTGAATTATTACCTTATAGAAACTGCTTTCTTTGAAATTGTTTTTTTAGAACATAAGAATGAAGTTTTATTTCTTTTTGCTAATGGGGCAAACAGAAAATGGTATATAAGGTGAAAAAGGGATATAGTATTATACATGATATATCTAGAGGCATGTGATAGGTCATAATATTGTTCACCAAATATTCCAGTTTCTATTTCTATAGTGGTCCTTTCTGTGGGATTTTGGGGTCACTTGTTACTACAGCATAACCTAAATTATTCTACCAGACACAAGATTGAAATGCCATACTAAAACTTTTATAAAATGAAATATCTTGTCAATTTGAGTGGTTTTCCCAAAAGTCAAACTTTTACTTCTCAGGCATTTCTATTTATTTTTTCTACTTTCCTATATAAACGTTTTTTTTTTAATTGTTTGCAGAGTTTTCATTTTAAACTCTGTACTCAGGGGCCCTCCCTGGTGGCTCAACGGGTTAAACCACAGCACTATGAAGCTATTGGCAGCCACTCAGCACAAATTCAATCCCCAGCCAAGGAGATGACCCACATGGTGTGGCAGACTTCTCCAGATCCGCCTCCTGCTCCCCTCAGCTGTATCAGACTGTTCTGTTCCCCCATCTGTCTCTGGTGAATCCTGTCACTTCCCACACCTCTGGCTGTACCCCAGTTCTTGTATGCATAAATAAATAAATCTTTTAAAAAAATAAACTCCACACTCAGGTTCTCCTATCATAAATATTGTACACTGTTCCTTACTATATTTTTATATGTTCTTTCCACCTTACATATCTTATTAATCAATGAATGAATGAATGTATATATATGTATTAAATACCAGGCAGTCTGTGCTTACCAATTTTATGTCAGTGTTCTTTAAGTTTTAGAAAGTGGCCCTCCCTGGTGGAGTAGCGGGTTAAAGCACAGCACTGAGAATCTAAAGCCGCTTCCACATGAGTTCGATTCCCGCCTGCCCCGGAGGTGACCACATGGTGTGGCAGACCTCT